AAAAAAAAAAAAAAAAACATAGTTTTTTAAATTGGTTAAAAAAACAAAAAAGGTTTTTTTTTTTTTTGGGGGGATTTATATTCTTTATTTTTATTTTACAAAAAGAAAATTAAAGAAATTAAATATATTTAATTGGGAAATATTTGTTTCGGATTACCAGCCACCAATCATACCTTTAGTTGGTTGACTAAATGGATCTTTTGGATTAGTTTTTGGTGGTTGAGTTGTTAGAGCAGCAGCTAAAATAAATAAAATATAAAAAAAAAAAACACAAATAAAATATAGAGTACAATTAGAAAATTATTTTTTTTAACTTTATTCTTAATATAAATCCATTATTAATAATCACCTCTTGGTTTTGGACCAATAATAATAAGGTTTCCGTTCATGGTTAATAATTTATTTGATATAATGTAAAAATTGGAAATAATAGTGAATAGAAAAAAAAAAGTAAATAAAAAAATAAAAAATAAAAAATAAAAAATAAAAAATAAAAAGTAAAAATAAAAAATGATTGGTTTGATGAAAAAAAAAATGAAAAAAAATAAGAAAAAAAAATAAAATAAAAAGGTGGGATGAGATATTTTTTATAAGGTTCTTTGAAGTTTTTTTAAAATTATCAAAAAATAATTTTGTATAAATCGTTAATGTACAAGATATCTTAAAGTTCAGAGACTCCAGTTGTACCAATAAAAAATAAAATGCGGAAATTAACGGAGTTTTTTTATAATAATAATAATAATAGGATTTTTAAATTTTTTATAAAATAATAATAGGATTTTTTTTTTTCAATAAAATCTACAAACTTTAAAAAAAAAAGATATTTATAAGATACTTTTTTTTTTTATTGATTTGGTTTATAATTAAATCATCTTATCTTAATTTTGAATTTATGTGACTAAATATGGTGTTGGGAGAGTTTTTTTTTCACTGGTATTAAAATTTCATTTTAAAATAAAAAAAAAATAATTTATTTATTTTTTTTTATTTTTTTAAATTTTTTGTTTATTTTTTTTATTTTTTTTTGTTTAATTTTTTTATTTTTTTATTTTTATTCCATTTTTTATTAATTAGTTCCCATTTAAAATTATAGAATATTTATATATTATATATATTTTGTGAAATGATCACACATTTTGTTTTTATTGATATATAAATCCACTTAAAACACTTTTTTACATTAAATAAAAAATAAATAAACCACATAAATAAAAAAAAAAACACACACAAATTTTTATTATTTTTTTTAATTTAAATTATTATTCAATTTTTTTTAAATTATTATTTTCTTAAATTTATTTTTTTATATTGTTTTTATTATAATTTGTTTATAATACTCATAAATTTATAATGGACTCGCAAAATAGTTACTCAGGCTATAACACTTTTAACCATCAACCATCGTGGAGTAATAGGTAATTATAAAAATAATTATATATTAAAAATCCCAATAATAATAATTTATTACTATTGCATAGTTATAATGGTAATACTTAAAATATTTATATTAGTTTATTAACTATTTAATTAATAATAGCTCAAATATTTATCCATCAGGTAATAGGGATCCAGAAAAAAATCCATTATTGACAGAAACAGAAAAAACCAATATAGGCACATCATACAGAAAAACAACAACAAATAAAAAGAAGGGTTTAAATATTTTTGTCAAATTATTTGTTATTCTCTTTTACTTAGTTTCAATTGCATTGGTTGCTGTTGGTTTATACCATTATTTTGAAACAGATCATAGAAAGCCTGAAGTTAAAACTGTTTTTTATTTTATAGGTGGAATTATTTTATTTGTAGTAACCTCAATCGTTTTAATCGCAAGAAAATGTGGTAGATAAATAATACATCACATTCAATAGTTTCAATATTTGTACAGATTTTTAATTATTATTATTATCATTTAATTAGTCAATAAAAGTAAAAAATAAAAAGAAAAATAGAATATTCCTTTAGAAAATTTATAATTATATATACAAAAAACAGAATTTTAATTTTATTATTATTATTTTTTTTTAAAAAAAATCTATATTATAATTTATTAAATTATATTATTAAATATTATTATAGTACTAACAAGAACAACCTTGATATTGTGGTTCTTCTTCTTCGATTTTAACGGTTTTTTGTCTTTGTTGTGATGACGATGATGATGATTGGGTATTTTGTGGAGATTCAATAATTTTTTGGGCTAATTCTTCAAAAGCTTGTTGAATACCAATTTTGGTTTTTGCGCTACATTCAATAAAAAGCATTGCCTTCTTCTTTGCAAATTCAGCACCTTCTTCTCTTGAAATTTCTCTATTTTCTTTATCTATTTTATTTCCTACTAAAAGTTTAACTAAATTGGAACGATTTGCAAAATTTTCAACTTCATTTAACCAATAATTTAAATTTTCGAATGTGTCTCTTTTTGTAACGTCGTATGCTAATTTTTAAAATATTAGAAAGTTTAGATTAATATAATATATTTTTTTAAAAAGTTGATTTTAAATATTATCCCCAAAAGTGGGCATTTGAGCTTGCTACATACTTAATATAATACCATGTGCACCTCTATAATATGATGAAATTAATGCTCTAAATTTTTCTTGACCTGCAGTATCCCATATACATAAATCTACTTTTTTTCCATCAACCTTTACTTCCTTCATTTTAAATTCTACACCAATGGTTGTTAATACTTCTTCATCAAAAGTATCGTCTGAAAAACGTTTTACAATTGACGTCTTTCCTACATCACTATCGCCAATAAGTAAAACCTTATACTGTTTTTCTTCTTCCATTTCTTTTTTATTAGTTTATATGTATATTATAATGAAAAATCTATATATGTTATTAAAGTGTGTTTATTAAATTTATTTAATTTTCTAGAAAATATAAATTTTTATTTATTTATATTTTATTATATGTAATTTATTATATGATATATATTTATTAATATTTTAAAAATTATTATTATTATGAAAATTAAAAAAAATTAAAAAATAAATAATTAACTATTGTGTGGGTATTTTATTATTTTCTATATTATAAATTATAATTAATTATTATTATTATAATTTTATTATTATTATTAATTTAAGTATTTTCCAAACTATTAAATAAAAAAAAAAAATTAAAAAAAATAAAATAATCTTGAAAAAAAAAATTAAAAAAATAAAATTAAAAAAAAATAAAAAATTTAAATTTTTTTATTTTTTTAATTTTTTGGTGTATTTATAGCAGAGCTATAACACGTATTTATATTTGAATAATCAAAATAAATAATAATAAAATTCAAAAAATATAAAAAATTGAAACAAAAATATGAAATAAAAAAAATATGGGAAAGACTTAGCATTGCATACTCTTAAGAATTCTTATAAATGAATAAATAAATAATTTAATAAATAATTTAATAAATAATTTAAACAGTTCTCAAAATGAAAAAAAAATATCTTTTTTTTTTTTTTTTTTTATTTTCTTAAAAAAATAGGTGTATTTTATAAAAAGATTAATTAATTTTGGTTTAGTAAAACATAATTAATTAAATAGTTTATTTATTTGTTTAATTTCAAACCAAAAATGTTAATTTAATTTTTTATTTTTTATTTTTTATTTTTTTTTTTATTTTTATTTTTTTTTATTTTTTTTAAAATTTTAAAAATTTTAAATTTTTTATTTCTTTTTGTTTGTAAACAATTTATTCATTCAAAAAAAAAGTTGATTTTTTTTTTTGGGGGGGATAAAATAATAATTAAAGCACTATATTTTTTTAGTTACCCATTGTATTATTATTTCGATTTCTAATTATATATTTTTGTTGTATTTATAAATAACGCACTCATCAATACATTCCCCCTATTACACCACATTTTATATATTTTAAATATTACATACAATTTACACACACTAAAAATAAAATAAAGTAACAAAATTAAAACAAAATATATTATAAAATTAATTTTTTTTTTTAAATTTTGTTTTTATAATTATTTTTTATTTTTTTTTTTTTGTTTTTTTTTTATTTTTAGATTGTTTTTTTCTCTTTTTTTATTATAAAAAAAAGATAATAATAATAATTCAAAATGGATTTATTAAGTTATGTTCATTTTATTGTATTTTCAGCAATATTTGCATTGTTTATAATGTATTTATTGTTTTTATCATCAATTTCATTTGGGTTTATAGTCAGTAAATTATTATCTGCATTCGTAATGCCAAAGGATACATTTATTCGAATTAATTCATTTCAAATTTCGATTATTTCGGGTAGGATTGTATTTAAAGGTGTGAAGGTGGCTACAAAGAATACATGCATACGAGTAGTTGAGGGTGCTATAACATTTAGATATTGGTTACGTAAAACTAGGGAATCTCAACATATTCACACTGACTCTCCAAGTCGTATTGGTATCGAATTATCTGGTTTAGAATATTTGGTTTATAATAATAGTTATAGATATGATACGATCGAAGAAATTTTAAAAAAGAAATCAAATCACAATCGCGATAGTAACCAAAATAATGGTAATAATAACAACAACAATAGTAATATTAATTTAAATGATATTTTAAATGGTAATAGTAATGCAAGCTCAGCAAATGATTTAAATGATATCATTAATAATGACCTACCAAATTTACAGAAACAAAAACAACAACAACAACAACAGCAACAGCAACAACAACAGCAACAGGATGCAAGTGGTGCCGATGAAAAGAAAGAAGATTTACCACCTTTACCATCTGTAAAAGACTTTGTTTTACCCAGATTTTATAGAATGTTTTCGACAATTGCAATTACGATAAGAAAGGGCTGTATGATGTTAAGTAATCCAGAACTACCAACTATTTTGGTTATTACTTTTGATAAAAGTACTGGTCTATATACAACTGACAGTGTAAGTAATACATTAATTACTAAAGTAAAATTATTAAATGATATATTAATAAAGATTCTTATATTTTTTAGGCTAGTTTAGTTGATTATGATTATTATAGACAGGTTGCAAATATGGATTTGGTAAATATTAAAATGAATTTAATGAATAATAAAGATTATAATGGTGAGTCGGAATTATATGTAGATAGACCCCAAAAAGAAGAGTATGTATTATTATTTGTTCCTTATTATTATTAATATTTTTATGATCATAATATTAATATAAATTTATTTATTTAGTTTTGTAACATATGCATTTGAAAGTTTTAAATCAGTTTATAAAGATATTAAATTTACATTTATAAATACAGACGAAAATTTTGAAACTAGCGATTTACCAAGAAGAAAATTAGATGATGAAAATAATAATAAAATACCATTATATGATTATGGTAAAAGTACAGAAATTTTAAACTCAGTATTGGTCCATCTTAGTTATTATTGTGATGTTCCAGGGCCAGTTCAAAATATACCAGAGCATTTGGTTTACAGAGAGTTAGTAGCTCCTCAGTGGGGAGCAGAAATTAATTTTAATTCTAGTACTATTGTATATGGCCCATGGGCTGATAGAAATAGAGCATTAATTCAAAAATTCTTTATGCCAATGGACTACGAAACAAGGAAAATTTATAAACCAATTGTTGGCCAAGCAAGACAGTATGCAAGTTTCAAAACTGTTATAAACTTTTCGAAAAATACAACTTTTAGAATACCATTCAGAGAGTTATCTAAAGACGTTCATTCATCACGTGAGGAGATTGCACAAAAAAAACCAGGTTATGTTGATGTAAGAATGGACGAAATGTCAACAATTACATGTGTTTCACCAATGTTGGTTTACAAAACCTCTGGTATTAGTATTATGGATATTAGCATTCAATTAAATAAGTGCAGTGTATCAACTAGTTTAACCAACACAACTTTTCTTCAATGCAGTTATTTGAAATTCATATTTCAAGTGAATTATCCAATGGTTTGGAATCATTTGACCGAATGGAACGCTGACTTTGATATAGGTCAACCACAGATTTTTCTTTTATCTGATGTTTTAACTTTATTCAAAGATTTAGGTAATGATTGGTCCGCTGGCGAACCTGTCGATATTACAATGTTTGTCCCAAAGAATTTTAAATTTAACTTTGTTCTTTCAAATTTCAGTATCTTTTGTAACGTCAACGAGCAAAATATTGTCAATATTCCAAATAATTTAGAAGAGAATGCTCATTATATTTTTACTGGTCCATTATTAAAGGCAAACTTGGTATTACCATTTAACAGTTTCCAACCAGTTAAAACCGAAATATTATTCGATGTCTATGTTAAACGTCTATCTCTAAAACTAATACTACCAGTTTACAATACAATTCGACAACACTTAGAAGATATTGAAATTGAATCAAAAGATGATGACCAATTAAATAGTGATTCCATTTTAACACCACCACCACAACCAAATAGTACATTTTCACAAACCAATAGCCAAACACCAAATATTAATCAACAAAATCATTATTATTATTATCATCATCCAAATTACACTAATCATGACAGTAGCCAGTTTATATTTTGTGAAGATTTTACATTAAATGGTAAATATCTTTATTATCAAAAGGTTGATCCATCATACATCAACTCTGTTGTTTTAAATATTGTAGGTCAAAATCCTACAGTCAAATTATTTGGTTTCTATGTTCGTTATTTCTTATTTTTAAAGAATAACTTTTTCGGTTATACAAGTCACATTATAAATTTACAAAAATATAAAGATAATATTAATCGTGAAAAAGAAATGGAAAAAGAAGGTGGTATGCAAAATGACAATCAAAAGAATAAATCATCACAACAGCAAGAGCCAGATAGTAACGACACAGAGATTTATGTATCAGTACATTTACAAGATGCTACTTTGTTTTTACCAATGGGTTTATATAGCTCCAAACAACAAGCTACTCTAGGTCTACATGAATTTCTTTTAGAAATCCGTTATTTACCAACTTATTTAGATTTATATGCCGATTTTAGTCCAATGGTATTAAAAATTCCTTTAACAGAGTCTGAAGTACTTAGCGAGGCCAACAATGCCAGTGCTGGTGATCTTTTAAATCGTTACATTCAAATTAATGATTTTACATTCAAGCTTCACTTTCTTTATGGTCCAAAACCCACTGTTGCAAATTATGCTGATTTTGTAAACGTTCATATTGGTGCCATTACTGGTAATGTTTTAATTTCTCAAATCACAGGTCTAGGTATTTGGTTAGAGAATTTCTTTTTCCATTTAAATAATAAGGATAATGCTCTTTCAACTAAATTGGTATCAAAGACAAGTCCAGTTTATTCATTATTAAAATTAACTGTAAATACAATCTCACTTTACATTTATTCAAGTGAGCATATCACCGAAATCCGTTTGCCATTGGGTTTAAAGATGCATTCAAATTCTTTGATTGATCAATTATCACACAGTAAAATGGTAATTGAAATTCCAGAAATTTCATTCAAACACTTGGTACCTTTATCTAAAGCAAATTCATCTGGTCAACCAATATCAATTAATATTAATAATGGTAAAAATGGTGCAAATAATCAAGCTTCATCTAAAAAGAACAGAAAATGGGCAGAAGTTGGGGACTTGAAAATCGCTTGTAATATTTCTTTATATAGTAAGGAGCCAAATTGGAGAATCGATTCCGAAAAGCAGCGTCAATTCTTAATTACCCATGACAGTGAAAGTAAATTTTTAGCATTCTTGTGGGAAGATGAAGAATCATTCGAAGAGTTATATAGACAAACTATATTTGAACAAGAGCAATTAATCAAACGTCACGATTTAATTAATAACAGAGTGCTTGGTTTTGGTGGTGTTTTAAATACCAATAAAAGAGATATTATATCCTCATCAGAATATAAAGAGTCTTATTCATTTTCACCAATTCAAATGGGAAATATCAATGGTAGTAATAGTGGTACACCAATATCTGCATCCAAAAGTAATAGTTTCCTGTATCCAATTGGTAGCTCTAATCATATATTAAAGTGGACTACCAATACATCCCCAATGAATGCTTATGATTTATTTGCTGCTTCAACTGCTCAAATGAAAAATTCAAAATCAAATTTAGATATTAGTTCGTATCTCAATGCTCAACATACAGAATCAGTTTATTCAGACGACGAAGACGAAGATGACTATGATGACGACGAAGATGATGATGATGAATACCAAACACCAGAAACTTCACTCCATACAGGCAAAAATACTGACGACGAAGAGGAATATAGCGATCCAGAATTGATGATGTCATCTAGGGATGATAGATTATTTGTTACAGCAAAAACATCACAATTTTTATCCCCAATTAATGTTAGTATGGGTTCACCAAGTGCAGTAGCCAATGATGTCGCTCAACAATCACCTCAATCATCAACATTATCCTCATCACAACAATTAAATTATAATCCTCTTAAGGTTTCATCTAGTACAAATAATTTAAAGAATATATTAAAGAATAAAAATATAATCGATAATGATTCACCAGTTTTAGTCGATTCACCAAAAAGTGATAATTTAAGGGGTAGTGGTGGTTTTTCAAGTTACAATAGTTCAATCAATCCACATATTGTATATCTTAGAAACTACTTACGTACATATTTCTTTAATCTATCACAAGCTAGAATGGCAGCATTCGGTTCAACTAGTAAGCAATCATCATTTGTCGAATGCACACCCAAAAGACAATTCCCTACCCAACCAGCAACACCAAATCTACAAAAATCGTCCGCAAGCAATTTAAGAGGTGTTTATCAAAACCAAAATGGAGATAATCCACATGAGTCAATTCATTCATTATCCAATAATTTTGAATCATCTTACATTCAATATTTAACAAAAGATATCAACTCATCAGAAATACCAATTATCCCAAAGAGATCAAGAACAAAGAGATTAGTGACATCCAATCCATCAATACCAATTCCAGAACATCATTACGAATCATTTGAAAATAATGATAGTAACGAATTTCCACATGATCATTTAAATGAACACAGCTCATGCAAAGATCACTATTGTCTATATGGTCAAGATACTTCGATTACCACCATTTTTATCGATAGTATGAAGGATATTGAGTTATTTGCTACACCAGTTATTGTTAATATTTTGGAAGAGTTGGTAGAATCATTTATTGCTAAGGATCCATCCATCGATTACATGCTCGATTATTTCCAACTTAGAACCATTTCAGAGCAATTTAAAGTAAAGAAATTCCTGCATAATCAAATTAGATTAAATTTATTCATTCACAAATTTAATTTAAATTGGATTCAATCAATTATTATTGCACCAAAAGATTTAATTCAAAAGCAACAAAAACAAAAACAGCAACAATCACCTATTGGTAGAGCTAGAAGTAATAGTGGCGGTAAAAGCAAAAAAAATAACGTAGAATTGTATACTACAGAAATTCAAGTTGAATCCATTACAATTCAATTAAGCTCCTGTACCAAACAAATGAATCAAAACAGTATTTCTAATAATATTGATGATATTAGATTATCAAGTAGTAGTATAAATCAAAAAAGTTTATTACCAAAAGATGAATTTTGCCATTTCCAAACTAAATGTAAAATTAAATCAATTCATGGCTGTATTAGATACCATAATGATATAGTTGAACAAGCATCACAATTTAAACCATCTGCAAATACAACCACAACCTCAACTACCACCAATACCACAACACAAACAAATGACAATTCATCAAGTGAAATTAATTATTATTCAATTCCAAATAATATTTTATCAAAATATCACAATAAATCATTTAATAATCAAATTATAATTGCATCAGTCTCAACAGATGGTATTAAAATTGAAGGTGTTATTATGGACGAAGAAAATATGAAATTAAATTGCTCAACAAACTCAACTAATGTAAATTCAAAACCAAGTGGTGATTTTAAATTGGATTTAGGAATGGTTTCAATTTATTTTACCCCAAATTCACCAGCTATTCTCTTTAGAGTAGTTGATACTTGGATTGTACATGTATCATCTTTAGTTTCCGTATTTGGTAGATATAAAGAGCTATGGTCAAGACGTATGCAGGTTTTAATAGCAGAATTATTAAAAGCAAAATCAAGATCATTAACAAACTTTTCACCTTCTAATGCAATCTATAGTGGCGGTAGTAATCCAAATAATGTCGCAACTAGCACATTTAGCAGCGGTGGAAGTACTATTAGTCACAAGAATAAATTACTAGACTTCTTATCACCAGATTTCAAAGAGATTATTGGTGATGAAGCTATTATCCATAGAACAGGTTGGGAAGATATTTCAAAAATGAGACATTTTATGCGATTCACAGAACGTCCTTCAATTGATCAAACTGTGGGTTCCATTTCCTTAGAGCAAGATCACGATTCATATTTCTTTTTCCAAGAGTTAATTAATGAAATTTATGAAACAGATCAAGGTGGTGAATTAATTCAATTATTCCAATCACCATTAATTAAGAAATTGTTTATTGAGGAGCCTGGTTCATCTTCAAGTTTAAATGCAAATTTACAATTTGAATTTCAAGGTTTTCAAGTTACTGTTGTTAATAATAATGAAAAAATGAATTCATTACATCAACAACATCACCAACATCACCATAATAATAATAATAATAATACACCCTCAAATACAAAACCAAATATACCAAAATCTAAACAAACTTCTTCAACACCAAATAATAGTAATGATACTTCAACAGCAAATAGCAATAGTAACAATAATAATTCATCAAATAATATTAATCAATTAGCAATAAGTAAAGTTGTTGGTGGTGCTATGGCAAGTTATAATTTCGAATCAAATTTTGAAAGTTTACCAGCAACTATAAAAAGCACAACACCAAAATCATCATTGGATATTGATTTCTTTTCATCTTGTAAACAAGTATCATTAAGAATTTCACCAGATTTAATTTCATTTATTCAAAATACAATCAAGGTTGTTGAAATATCTCAAGTTGATGTATTACAAGGGGAGGAGTTAATTCTTGGTTCTCATGATCCTTGGAAGGAAGCTGTTAAACCATCCCACAGTAGAGAGTTTAATAGCTACAGTTCACAAATGAAGCAATCAAGTCTTTCATTAAAAAAGAATCCACCCGATTTATCAGTTATTGGTGAAGATATCGAAGAGCAAATAGTCGGTGACGAACCAAATATGATACCAATGGTTAATTTACATGATAAAGAATCGTCATCATCATTAAAGCCACCTCTATCTCCAGGTCATTCCAAACGTGAAACCTCACCAAATTTATCATCAGTCGCTAAAAATGCTAAACTTTTATTATCACAGCAACAAATGGAAAAATTAATTTTAGAGGAACAAAATAAATCACAACCACCAACCCAACCACATTTGCAACCACAAGAGTTTAATCCAACAGTTAGTGGTGTTTCAAATAGCAGAAAGAAGGTATATTATTCAACTTCAAGTTCACGTTCTAAACAGAAACAATCTACTTTAACAATTACAGCACATGGCCATTTCTCATTTGATGAGATTCATTGTAGAGCATTCTCCTCTGGTAATGGTACACTTAGAATGGTTTTAAAGAATCTCTCATTTGTATTTAATGAGTTTGGTGCTTCTCAACCTCAAGATGGATCACGTCCAAATGGTGATTATATTCATATGATTCATTCTTGTATTTTCTCAATTCCAAGCATCGAGTTACATTTATTAGATCACAATGATAATCTTGAATTGGTTAAACCAATTTTTGGTCTCAGTGTTAAGGATTTATGCTTCAACGAAGTTTTATTCAAAATTGGTAAAAAGAAAACTAGAACAATTTTATCAACTGGTAAACGTGAAGAGTATATCGATTTCTCTTTAAAATACGACTTGTTTTTAAGTTTTGCTCAAGCCATATTACCATTTAAAATGTCTCATCAATTTTTACCAAAATTAAGAGGGTTCCTTAAAGAATGGACCCCAGTTTCAACAGTTAAACAACAAAAGAAGGAAAATAACGAAGCAATTGCCCTCAGTGATATTAAATTCCCACCAATTAGATTAAAACTCGATCTTCACGATATTATGATTAGTACAGATGCTATTTCATATTTACCAGTTAAATATAATATCTCAAGAATTACAGCTTCATTTAGTCAATTCTCTCACAATGATTTGGAATTTAATGTTCAATTACATCAACATCAAATAGCATTTGTTAAACCATTGTCATCATCAACCTCAACAGCTAAAAGTGATACAAGTAACAGTAACAGTAATAGTAATAAGGACAATATTGCATTAACTAAAGAGCCATTTAATTTCCCTAAAATTAAAGCATTTGGTTCAATTAAGAATAAACCAAGTAAAGATAGAATCGATTTAATGGCAAATCTCGAAATTGGTTATATTCAAAATATTCTTTCAATTGATTTACTTCAAAATATTTTAGTATTAAGAGCCACTCTTTCCAAAGAGATCGATGAACTTTTAAATGCTTATATTTCATATGCCGAAAAGAAATCTTCAAATACAACCACCGATGACCCACAACAACCAAATACTTCTATAAACAAGCCACCATCCATATTATCGAAAATCAAATATAACTGTAGTTTGGTTTTATTAGGTTTTGAATTATTGTTTACAAATAATAGTGCATCGTTATTATTCTCCTCTGGTATTATAGATTTAAGAGTCATTTACCATCAACAACAGCAGGAGAAACAGGCTTTATCTCCACACTTACCACCAATTGGCAGGAATAAAACAATGATTGGAAATTCAAAACGTACAATTCATTCATTGGCAAGTGTAGCACAACAGCAGCAATTACAAAAGAGAGAACAAAAACCAACCTCTGAAACTTTAACTTGGAAAGTAGGTTTTAGGGATTTATCAATGATTCTATCTGATCAAACTTTAACTATCGATACTACCAATACTTTTAATAATCGTAGAAATCATGGCTTCTCTAGAATTCAAAATTTAAAATCACAAATTTGGGCAGGTATTATTACTGATATCAGTATTCAAAGTTATCCATTCAATAGTTTCCATCTTACTAAATTTGGTGGTAATAATAGTAAAGCATCATCATTTAATTTGGTCTCAACCAATCGTTCAAATATTTTTGAAAAGGCATGGGTATTAATAAGTAAAACTATTGTTACACTTCAACCATGGGCAATTGATAAGGCAACAGATCTTTGGATTTACTATTTCAACTCATACCAAAAGACAACATCAAAATTAGCAAAAATATCATTCACTCAAAGAAAACAACAAGTACAAAGAGCTTTAAATACTATTCCATCAACTATTCCAATTAAAGAAACAAATTTATCAATACATATTAAAATTATTGATACAAATATATGTATTCCACTATTATTAACCGATAATAACAATAGTTTAGATAAAAATTGTTCTGCTATGGTAATTTCCCTTGGTACTTTCTCATTATATGGCGTCGCTATTAAAAATCAACATGATTTGAAGAAACTATCATTTAACCAATATCAGAAGCAACCTTTAGACCAACCTCCAGAGGACGATAAATTAGTAAAGGTTTTAGGAAACTGTAAATTCTCTAAATTTTCATTCCAATTCGTAGATAATTACCATCCATCAAAATTAAACTCAATTCAGTTATTACCAAGTATTAATCGTGGTATCATTGACTCTGGTGATTGTCAAATGACTGGTCTTTTCTCTTCGCACAATGTTAAATTATTTGTAAACTTAAATACCACTGGTTTATTCTTACATCTGGATACAAATTTAATGTATTATATTGTTCAATTCCAAGATTTATTATTTTTAGGTCAAGAAAAAATTAAAAAAATTAATTTAGAAGAACAAGAAAAACAATTAAAAGATGGCCAATCATCACCACCAAATATTAATAAAGGAATTAATAATAATAGTAATAATAATAATAGCAAGAAACCAACATCAAAATCAAATCAACCCCAGGCTCCAGAGTATAAATTAGAAATTGACTTTACATTAAAAACTTCAGTTGGTGAAGCTACTTTAACTAAAACCACTCCCATTGATGACAGCGGATCCAATAATGATAATCCACCATCGCTATACTCTAGTTTCGATAATCCTTTAGCCTCTCCATTTACCAATAGTATAAATCAAAAGAATCATATCGATGAACAATTCCAAGAGTGTTTCCAATTACCACAAATTTCCATTTCAGCAAACCATATTTTAATTCCCAGATCAAATAATCAACAATCACAACAACCACAACAACCACAACAAAAGCCACAGCAACCTAACAACAATACTGGTAGTATTAGTGGTAAATCAAAATCTGAAACAAATATCCTTTTAACATTAGAGTCATATACCATTAAATTAACTCCATTCTTTAGTAACTTTTTATCTGATACAATAAAGAATACACCAGAATCATCAATGTCGCATCAATATAGTCAAATGGCAAATAATTCAAAATCAACAACATCTTTAAATAGCTCGAATAGTAATAGTAATAACGATACACAGGATATTAAAACCATACCAGGCTCAACAACATTTACAGTTCGTATAAACCCAACCAAGTTTATATTAAATGGTTTTGAATCAACATTAGCAATTTTAGAGATTGGCACATTGGATATTTATCTTTCTAATATTATAAAGAATACTGCAGGTTCAAAAGGTCGTGTTCTTTTGATGAATGGTACCCTTTATCTTAGTAGTTTATTGTTTAAGATTGTTCATTCATCAATTCAGGATGAAAGATTAGGTATTGTTATTAGAAGTGTTAAAGGAAATGTTGGTATTGCCCATGGTATTTCAAGTAGCCCACTAGTTTCAATTTTGTTAAATGCTGATAATTCCCATGGGTATTTCAATGTTAAATATTTGGATGAAATCTTACAATTTATAAATCAATGGATACCAGAAGAAAGAAAAGATGATAAACCTATTATCAATGTTTCACCAATTCCAAATCGTTTAAATAGTGTTAATCAAGAAGAAAAATTAAAACAAGAGTCTTTAGCTTCAAGTAAAATGAAATCACAATTCTATGTTAATGTTAAATTAGGTTCATTTGGTTTAGATTTAGATTTCTTACCAGTCAGTAGATTCAATCTTTTAATTCAAAATATTGGTGGAATTTTATCACCAACATCGGAATTGGAAGAATATCAAAATAATCTTCAAAAGCTTTATTCTCATTTAAATAAAAATGAAATGGTAGATCTTTACTTTTTAACATGCTATACTGGACCAATATCAATTTCAGGTCATGGTAAACTAGAGGGCTATTTAGAATTGGAGGGTATTATCATATGTGGCGAAAGAAAACTTTATCAAATGGTCAATTATGTCAATATGTGGACATTCCAAATGTCACCAACCAAAATCTCATTTGATTTTAATCAATCAGAAATTCTAGATCTTCAAAGTGGAGAATTTTCAATTAGATTCTCTGATTTACCAATTGAAAATTCAAATGAAAGAAGTATAAATTGTGAAATCTCTTACTCTCAATTACAATTATTATTATCTTGCGAAACTATTACTTCAGTTTTGGATATTATCAAAAGAATCAATGAAATTATTTCCGATAAAATAAAATCAGCAAAATATAATATCATCCATTCGAATGTCAACAATAACTTATTTAAAAATTCAAATAAAAAATCTGCAACTCTTAATGTCAAATCAGAAAATAATAATAATAATAATAATAAGAAAACTAAAACAATTGGTCAAATTAAAGTTAAAGGTTCAGATTTTAAGACTTTGTTATTTGGTTATAGTTTTAAAGATCCAACATGGTTTAGTTTTAGTTTAGAGTCTTATCAAATAGTATTAGATCAGTCCAGAAAGAAGAAAGATGAAATTCATAGACAAATATCTATCTTATTAGGTCAAAGTTTTATTTCTAAAATGACTGAAAATCTTTCGCAACAATCACCAAGAGCCAATGTTAGAGAATGGGAATTAAGAGATCACTTTAATAGAAATGCTTTAGAAACCAAAATTATAAAAATTCCAGTTTCAAGTTTAATTATGGACTCTACCGAAAGAACTAATTCAGCTGTAGAGTATTACTTTTTAACAGAATTCACCGACTCGATTGCAGTCAGTGTTAATTTAGGTTTATATGCAGATTTAAAGGATATGGTTCAAATTTATATTAAAGTTTTATCTGATACTTCAATTACTTCTGGTAATAGCAATAATAACTCACCACCTAATACGCCACCATTATTAAGCCAATCACAAATTATTCATTCACCAAAGAGTCAGCAACAACAACAACAAAATCAACAACAAAATCAACAACAACAACAAATCTCACCTCTATCAAAGAGTTTCCAAGCTGGTAACCCATTGCCTAATGATGATCACCAACACCATTTCGACGATAGCAGTAGTCACGTTTCAAGCTCCACTATTTCAAGATACGGACCAAACATCAAAACTAGAAAAGATCCAAAGACTGGTCGTATTTTTGTCGAAAAGAAATTCCAATTATCCCCCACAATTAATGTATTGGGTGAGTTTACTCCCAAAATTACTACTGTTTTTGGCTGGTTAGATATCAAAGATATCAACTATACCATTCCATTTTATGTTCATACCGGCTTAACCGATAATTTAGAATCAGTTTTAGATCAATTCTTATCATTTTCAAATTCTTTAAATCAAAATAATTTAGAAACTATTCAGCAACACCAACAACAAATTAATCAAAATAAAAACAAAAATAAATAGTATAATAATATAATTTTATTTAAAAATTATTAAAACAACACAAGATATATATTAATAAACAAAAACACAATAAAAATACTGATGACTTTTTGTAATGTATCATTAAGAATCATCACTTTTTGAAAAATAAAAGAATCAAAATATAAATTTTTTTTTTGTTTATGTTTATATTCACTTTCTGAATCTAATGCATTTGTAGTTTCGTCTAAAACAATAATTTATGGGTTTATTGGTATTTTATTAGGAATTAAATTAGGGATTAAATTATTTGTAGGGAATGTAAACTTAAATAATTTATATGCTATCCCCAACACACAACACACAACACAACAAAAAGAAAAATGAAAATTTTTTTATTTTTTTATTTTTTTTTTTTTTTTAATTAAATTTCCCCACCATTTCAAAGTGCTATATTATATATTATTTATTTAATATAATATTGTAAAATTATTTTCAATATAAATACAAAATAAAAACTTAATATTCTCAATATACTAAAAAATATTATCAATAATAAAAAACTAAAAAAATATATAAAAAAATGAAATATAACATTTGTTTAATGGATTCAAATAAAAATATGGAGATTCATGCATCTTCAAATGTTTTTGAAACATTTGAAGATATATATGAATATGTTAAAAAACAAAATATATCAGCATATTATATAAAAAGAAAAGAAATAAATAGTTATTTATCAAAAGAAACTTATCAAATGTATGTAATAAAAAAGATTATTTCAAAAATATAAATTCTAATTTTTTTTTAAATAAGCCAAAAATCAAAAAGGGAAATAGAAAATAGAAAATTTGGTGAATGCTATAGTGTATGTAAAGATTGTATAGAAGATAATTATAATTATGTTTTTGTTTTTAGTTCAAGTACTGGTAGGAGATCTGGTGGACTTCATTCACAAAATCATTTAAAAATAAATAAAAAGATACGATCCCAAAAAATACCCTGCAGTTCTAAAAACTCAACTTCAACCAATAGTTTTAGTCAAAACACACCAATATCTTCAAACCAAAAAATCTCACCTATTAGAAGCCATTCTAGTTCAGGTAGTCCAAATTCTCCTTTCTTGTGTATCACATCAAACTCTCCATATAATACACCTACTAGAAACCATTCTAGTTCAGGTAGTCCAAATGTTCCTTTCTCCTATATCACATCAAATTCTCCATATAACACACCTATTAGAAGCCATTCTACTTCAAGTATTCCAAATTCTCCTTTCTTGTGTATCACATCAAATTCTCCATATAATACACCTACTATAAACCATTCTAGTTCAAGTATTCCAAATATTCCTCTCTCCTATTTCACATCAAATTCTCCAAATAACACACCAAAAAAATATTCAAAACCATCCTCAGTTAAAGACAACAAACCAATTAGTCCAATTTTAAAAAAAGATCTAATAGAATTTGCATTAAAAGAATGCAATACATCTGCTAAAGGTATCATTTTTAAAAAAAAAGATTTCAATATTATTTTATACACCCCAGAGAATGATACCGATTTAAAAAAACTAAAAGAAATATTGAAAAAAGTGTTATATAGATTCACAATTACAGGATGTTGGGTTTATTCCACCAGTTCAGGTGTATATAAAAACATGGTTGATTACATATATCCCTTTAAAGTAGAGAGTAGTACTGTAGTAAGACACTCTATTTTTTGTGAAATAGCACATGACATATCTATAGAATCAGAAAAAAAAAAACATATATTGTGTTGCAATCCTAACCATCTTTTCATAGGTTCAAAAGAAGAAAATAATAAAGATAAAAACTGTAGAAAAAAATTAGAAAAAGATGTCCGTTTTAAACATGCGATAAGAGAACTTAGAGGAAAAGCAATTGCGCTCTATTATGGAATATATGAAGGATATGATTTGGACTCAATCGATCCAAACTCAGCAAGCTTATATTTTGATAGCAGTGAAGATGATGATAGCGATGATAGAGATGATAGCGATGATGGCGATGATAGCAATGATGGCGATGATAGCAATGATAGCGATGATAGCAATGATGGCGATGATAGCGATGATAGCGATGATAGCAATGATGGCGATGATAGCAATGATAGCGATGATAGCAATGATGGCGATGATAGCGATGATAGCGATGATAGCAATGATAGCGATGATAGCCATGATAGCAATGATGGCGATGATAGTGATATTGATATCCTATCCCAGTTTATAAAAAGATTAGATTTCTATGACGGTGCAAGTAAAATAACCAAAAAATTCTAACCACCTAAAAAATAAAATAAACATTCTTTTTTTTAAAATAATAAAACATTTTTTTTAAAAAATAATTTTTTTTTATTAAGAAATTTGTGCATTTTATTAAACTTTTTATTTATTTAACATGGTTGATCTGATAATAGCTTTGCTCATATTAATGAATTCAAATTCATCACGGCCATAAAGCAAACAATCTGTTTTAATTAAAAAAACTTATACCAATATATATGTAAACATTGATGGATGTAATTACTTTTTAATTCTTGATTTATTTTTATTCATAATAATTTTACAATTTCCACATGCTGGTGATTTTTTTCTTTCATTGAAGTACTTTGGTGTCCCTTGTGAAATTGCCATAAATTAAGTTGATATATTTTATATCATTTTTCAAAATTGAATTGTTATTGTTATTTTATTTATCCATTAATGTACTTCAAGTGATTTTATTTAATAATCAATTATTTTTTCAAAAAAAAAAGTTTCTTCAAAAGGAAAAACCACTTATATCGTAAGATTTTTGTGTTGATAAATCCAAGTCTCAACTTCTTTTATTGGTTTTGATTTACACTCTGTGTTGAAACAATAGTGATAATACACTTTTTCGAGACCCTACATTGGTATGTTTTTTCAGTTTTCTTTAATAGAACGTTGTAGACACCCTTCATCTAAATAAAGATTTGAATTTTTACCATATTAAATGAAAATCTATAAGCATTATTGCATTATTAAATTTTGTTACGATAAAAAATAAAAAAATACATTTTTATAAATAAAAACATCTTCAAAAAAAAAAATAATTAAAAAATAAAAATTAATTTTTTTAAAATTTTTTTTTTATTTATTTTCATTTTCATTTTCATTTTCGCTAAAAATGAATAAATTAAATAAAACTATTCATAAAGCTATTGTTATTAATAGTTCAATTATTAGAAATAATAATTTACGTAGATGTTTTACAACTTCTTTGTTTACATCCAATAAAAATAATATTTATATCACAACACCAAAACTTTACAAAACATTTTTAAATAATAATAATGATAATAATATAAATATAAATAAAAAACATTTTACAACATCAAAAGATAATAATAATGATAAATATTCAAATATGCTTAAAGAAGCTGCAAAATTTATTTTTAATTTCAAATTAAACGATGCATTAAAAATAATAAATGAAATGATTGAAATGGAACCAAACAATCCTGTTGGATATCAAACCCGTGGAGAAGTTTATGTTATTCAAAAGAAAGGAGATCTAGCAATTAATGATTTCGAAAAAATTTTAGAACTCACACAACCACCAAGTGATACTACAACAGAAGATAACAATGACCACAGAGATAGAGCTTACCACTTTTTAGCAATGATCCAACGTGAAAAAGGAAATTTAGATAAGGCTATTGAATACACTGATAAAGCATTCAGTGAAGATTGCATCTCACTAGATAACTTAATATTAAAAGCTGAACTTTTACAAACTAAAAAAGAATATTTAGCAGCAGCTCACATTTATGGATTGGCATTATCTGAAGTCGATAGAGAAAACAACAATGACATCTCGGCTCAATTTTTATGCTATAGATTAGCCGAAAATATTGTAGTATGTTTAAAGCCAGTACTCGAAGAAAATTTCCCAAATGGTGGCGAGCTCTCTACATATTTGGAAGAAATCCCATCAAATCAAATAGAGTTCCTTAAAACTTATGACAATTCATTCAATTTCCTCACAGAGAAATGCGGCAAATTAAGAGATTATATAGGTCAAATCATCAAAAACACAAATTTACCAAGAAACTCAAAGGATAGACAACATCTCGATCTCTTAAAGAGTATTTTTACAGCAATGACAACTTGTAGTGTTGAGGCTATGAATGTTATGAATAATCCAATGTATCAAAAACCAAATAAACTCAATCCATCAATCAAGCTCAGCGACTTTATTTTCGAATTTTACAAAGAAATTATTTCAAAATATTTCAAATAATATTAAAATAAAGAATAAAAGATAATAAAAAATAATAAAAATAATAAAGATTAGTTTTTTTTTTTGTTTATTTTTAAAATCAAAACACTTTCGATTTATTAAGCAATATTATTGTTTATTATTTTATGGTTATAAGGACAATTTTGAAAATGTTGTTATAATTTTATAGTTTTTTTTTGGACCTTCTACTGAATAAACTAGTTTGAATTCTCTTGGTGAAATGAATTGATATACTGCATCATATGTATCACAGCCACATAAATGATGACCTTTTGCTGTATTATTTGAACTGATACTTCCACTGCTGCTATTTTGATCAAAGTTTAAAGTATGGAGTAATCTTTCTGGTTTTTCATCGAAAAATACTGAAATAATTTCATCTTTATATTTATAAATATATTTCTGTGATATATTAAACTCTGTACCATCTGGATTCTTCATTATACCCTCTTCTGAATATTGATATGTATTTTCTTCATCCTTTTTTAATTCAAAATTTGATAACCCTGTAACTATAATTGGTGGTTGTTCTAAATTATTATTATTATTATTTAAAAAGGATAAATTCGAAAATGGTGATGCATTTGATGGTGTTGTTAATTTATGAATAATATTCCTATGGAAACTCCATTTTCCTGAAAGTGACTGAAATATTTTAAACATTATATGATTATATAAATAAGGTGGTTATTTATTTCTGCTCTATTAATTAATCATATGATTAATCGATAAAAAAAAAATTAAAAAAAAAATTAAAAAAAAAAATTAAAAAAAAAGAAATTAAAAAAATTAAAAAAAAACTAAATAAATATTCATTACATAATCTTTAAAGTATTTTGAATATATATTTTTAAAATTAAAACAAACAATTTAAATTAAATATTTTAATAGTTATATTTGTTTTTATTATTTTTTTTTAAACATTAAATATAGATGTACAATAATAAAAAAAATAAAAAAAATGAAATTAAAAAATATAATTCTTTTTTTATTTTGTAAAACATACAACTATTATAGTGTACGATTTATTTTATTTAACTTTGTGGTGGTACTGGTTCTAAAATCTTGATAAGACAGTCTAATAAATCAGATCTAGTTACCATTCCAATTAACTTACCATTTTTATCTACTACTGGTAATCCACCAACATTTGAAACTCTCATCAATTTTGCAGCATCTACAACTGGTGAATAATCCTCTATGGTAACTGGATTTTGTTTCATAATTGAGGAAACTTTATGTTGTTTTAACTTTTCCATTCTTTCCTCATTAGTTTCAAATTGAATAAAGGGACTATCGGTTGCTAATCTTAAGTCTCTATCTGTTACAATACCTAAAGTTTTACAATGATGAAGATATTAATAATTTTTCTTTTTTTATTTTTTTTAAAAATAATATTATGGTTACCTTTAAGATTACCGTCATTATCAACAACTGGTAAACGATGAATTGAATTTGCATTTAAAGATTTTAATGCAACATCTAATGTTGAATCCATTGAGATTGTATATAAACATTTAGATGTCATTAATTGTCTTACTAGAATATTCATTTTATTTTTGATATAGTTTAATTATTTTTCTATTTAATATAAAAAAAAAAAAAATGTATAGCAATGTGTTTATATAATATAAAAAAAAAAAAAAAATAATAATTTTAATTTAAAAAAAAAAAAAATAAAAAAAAATAAAATTAAAATTTTAATTAAATTTTATTGAAGTTATTATTCCGATAAAGGAAATATTATTAAATTTATTTTCATATATTTGTATTTAATATTAAAATATTATTGTGTAAAAAAAATATTATTAAAAAAATAGTTTTAAAAAAAAACAATTTTTTTAATTTAATATTAATTATGATTATTATTTTTTTATAATAAAATAAATTATAATTTACATAAAAAAAAAAAAAAAAATAGTTTTACAAATAAAATTTTTTTTTAAAAAAATGATTGTATGAAATTGTAATTTAATTAAAATTTTCTTTTGTATTGATTTATAAAAAAGTTGATTTTGATTTATTTATAATTTGAAAAAAAAAAAAAAAAAAATTATATAATTCATTATTTATTTAATTATATTTTAAAAATCATCCAATTCTATTTTTAATTCAACTTCTTGGGCTCTATATTTTTTATTATTTGAACCTAAATAAGAAGAACCAAAATAAACAGAAGATTTTTGACCACTTGAGTTACTATTGTTATTCATTGCCAATGCGAATCTGTCATTGTGTTCTGGATCATCTCTTGTATCTAAGTAAGCAATAATATCACCATCTTTGAGCATGAATGGCTTGCCTCTTAAATCTACAATTACGTTGTTGCTATTATTTAAATTGTTTTGAGTTTGATCTTTTTTCTTTTGTGGTGGTGGGGGTGGTAATGGTATATTATTAGTTGCTTTTTCCATAGTCGATTCATTATCCTCTTCCAATGCAGAGTCTTCAGATGTTGCTGTTGCTGCTACTGATGGTGTTGTTTCTGTTGTTGATGTTGTTACATTTTGTTGATTCTCATCTTCAAATGATGATTTTTCAATATTATCCTCAGCAATTCTAATTGATGATGTTTGTGTATTATTGATATTATTATCAATTTGATTTGGTTTATTTGTATCTACATTATTTTCATTTGCAACTTCTTTAGTATTTGATTTTTTATTATTTGTATTTACTCTTTCTTCAATGACCCTCCATGGATTTGATTTATAATTTGGGAAATATTTAAAGAGATGAAGGAATTGCTCTTCAACACCAAAATTAGTTGAAATGAAACTATATAAATCTTTAATGGTTTTACCATTGAATATTAATTGCTTTGGTGGATATTCGAAAGATTGCTCCAATGGTCTTCTCTTATGGATATATAACAATAATGGTTTTGAAACTTTATGGTGGCTGTGTGTATTCTCACCCTCTTCTAAATCTGAAACTGATGATTTGCTCTCTAAATCTTTATTATAAACTTCAATGGTGACAGTGGATTCTTGATAAATATTAAACTTGGTAATTGGTTTGTTGCATGTAGTTAATAATTTTTCTTCTAACCAAATTCTAATGTCCTGCTCTTCCTTATTAATAAACTATAAAAAAACAATTAATATTTATTACTCTAAAATATTTAGAATAATTGCTACTTACAGATTGTTTTAAGAATAAATCCCAATTTAAAATTTTATCTTTTAATTGGGATAATGTGAGCTTTTTATCAACTGATAAATCACCTATAGGAATAATTGTAAATAAATCTGGTACGATAGGGTTATAGGTTTGATTTAAATGCAAAATAGGAGATGCTGCTACACCAAGTATTTGAGAAACATTATTCATTTGATAAAGCGATATTTTGATGATAATTTGATCTTTAGCTGGTATAACACCTTCTTCAATCCAAAGAGTTTCAAGTGATTTAACTCCGACTTCTTCGATTGTCATATCTTCTTCAACTATAATATTGTTGGGACCTTCAAAGATATCAGTTAATCTTAAAATATAACGACTTGCTATTTCTTCAGATATTTTCAATCTTGATAAAATATCTTTTTTCAATTGCATAATTGTAGTGTTCTTTGATACATCAGTTAAAAGACGTGGCTCTGGATGAGCTGGCTTCTTATCGACTCCGTGGATATATTTGATGGTTAATGTTGATTTAGAGCTTTGACCCTTTTCAAAGATTATCAATGAAGTGTTTACAATATTAGCCTCTTTCAAAGTTAATGTATCGTCTGATATAATGGTACCTTCATATCCACCAACTAATGTTTTACGAATAACAGTTTGGTCAATCCACTCTTTCTTTTCATTTGGATAGAGAGTGTCGAATATAATTTCTTTTAATTGATAAATTGTGTTCTTTGGATCTGATAAAATACGTACTGGTGGAGCAGATGAAACCGAAACAATGCTTGATGAAATGTTTTTGAATCTGTCATTGACGAAAAGTTGAATTTTACTTTTATTCAATTCGAAATCTTTTTTAACTAGAGAATTAGTATGATCCAAGTCATCAGCACAAGTGAAACCATTGGGAAGTACTTCAACATACAAAGTTATATCGCTGTAGAGACGATTTGAAAGTGGCATATCGTAATCATCTTCGAATGGCAATAGAGTTTGATTTGGTAATTGATAGAGAATCAATTTATTTAAATTATCGGTTGTGCAAACATCACTAATGGAACCATGGATAATTTCTTTTAATTTCTGATAGGTAGATTCACGGCTAATCGATAAGCTTTGATTCTTTATTAAATAGTTTTCGACATCGTCTGGATTATTATAGAAATATTTAATGTTGAATCTTATTGGTATATTTGATTTATCGGCGCCTTTCCAAATTAAAATTTGAGAACCTTCCCTAAGACCAACCTTTTTGATATTTGTGGTGCTACTTGGTACAATAGGTGGTTGAAGTCCAACCTTACCATCCTTGGTAAACATTTCTTGAATTACGATACCTGAACTATTATTTGAAAGAATACTCTCGACTTCATCTGGGAACTTGGATGTAATTAACTTATAAAGATCTTCAGTGGTTGATGAAATATCTAATTGTAAAAGCTCAACTTCCTTATTGTTGTTTTTGCTGTTGTTGTTATTGTAAATAATACCATCGTGAATAACGATATTTTCCTGGAACTTTGGTGTCAAAAACATTGAATTGGCTGTTACTTCATACTCGGCTCTATCTCTTTCGATACCTTCGTTAAATTCCTTGATTTCTTTTTCAAAATGTAATGGAATATCATAAATTTCTAAATTATTTCTTAATTTTTTACTTCTATAAATTAACATGTAGGCGCATTCATCACTACCACCGAATTGCTTCTTTACAACACTATCTTTAATTGGTAAAACTGAACTGTCATTAAAGTCATACCATCCTGAAAACTTATTATCATCTGAATTATCTTTGCCATTTTCGCCTTGTGATTCGGTTGCTGCTGTATCATCTGTTGCTGTAGTTGATTCTGCTGATTCTGTTGTTAAATTATTGGTGATATTTGAATCACTTGATGGTTCATCATTGTTGGTATTATTTGTACTTTCAATATTTTCTTCTTTTTTACCTCCAATATTTAAAACATCTTTGATATAACTATGATAATGGCCACCAAATGCACCACCACTATGTATTAATACGGAAAATAATTCATAATCTAATGATCCGTCATTTTCTTTTTCGTTTTCACCACTAGCAGAATTATTATCCTCAATGATGTATGGCTTCATATCGAGATCTTGAGGGAATTCAAAACGGTTGTGTAACTTGACTCTAGTACCTCTGCTAAAGTCATAGTCGAATCTACGAAGTGCAAAAATTAAAATTGGTGGAACTTTACCCAATTTAACTTGAAATGTAGCAACTACCTTTTTATTACAACTATCGCAACTATACATATTTTTACCATCTAAAGTTTCTGGTGAGGTAAAAGAGTTTAGACTTTCTTCGATCGAGGAGAAGCCTTTTACTGTTACGGGAATATCCTGGAAGAACTCCATTCTATCCTTGACCATTCCACATTCGGTACAAGTTAAACGATTAACAAAAGAGCCCTTGTATAGATCGCTAAATAAATTTTCAATTGGTGTTTTTTTAATTGAGTGTTCTACAGCGTCAAATAAAATTCTATTTAATTCATGAATATCTTGTTGATGAAATGATTGATCGCTGGTCCATCCGAAACTTTTGGTTAAATCTTCAGTTGACATTGCATAAACATTTCCTTTTTGTAACATTGAAAATAATCTTTGTAATTCATATGGAATAACTCTACCCTTCTTTTTATTTGTCGTTGTTGTGGTTGTCGATGATGAAGCTGTTTTTGTTGTACTTGTTGTAGTAGTTGTTGTTGTTGTTGTTGAAGAAGAATCTTCGTTTGTATTGTTTTTAGTTTCACCAGTAAAATGATTAAGTGTTGACGCTTCATCAAACAATACAATTGCTTTTGAATTATCTGTAGGTGGTAATGGTGTTTCAATTAAATGTTTATAACTTGAATTTGGAGATGGATAAGTTTCAAACTCCATAGAATTGAATGCATCTGAATAATCACCAAATAATGGGTCAATACCTTCTGCAGCCACTATATTACCGCTATCACAATTACTATTGCCAGTGTTACCACTATAACTGCTGCTTAATTGAGCATCACTGTAATACCAATCCATTAACCTTTCAATTTGATCTTGAGTTGGGTATAGCTTTAATGCATCTACTAGCCTTTCTCTTTCTAAGCCATAAACTAATAATAATTCTTGTGCATATTCTGAACTTAATAATTTTTCTTCACTTTCTATTTTATTACTATTATTACTATTTACATTATTACTTTCTGTTCCTAATATTTGATTAAATGAGTCCTGATTATTGTCATTATTGTTTTCGTTATTATTTATATTATTGTCACTACTATTATTATTTTCTATTGTTTGGTCATTATTACTTTTATTTAATAACTCTTTTTCTCTTTTCTCTATTAACTCTGATATTCCAAAATCATCAATAGTTAATTTATAAACATTATTCTTTAACTCTGGTGTCATATAAAGCATTTGAATTAAGCTATTTAAATAACATGTTGCACCTCTTTTAAAATTAAATTTGTCAATATTAACAAATTTTTTATTTTTTAAAAAATAAATAATTTTACTTACTGATTTAATAAACCAACAAAACCATGGTCAGATCTTTTATCAATTGGTTTTCTTAAATATTTTTTACCATTGTAATTGTTACTGTTATATGGTCCGGGTAATTGTGGTCCTATGAATCCCTCATTATTAATATCATCGTCTCCTTCATATAAATTTCCAAACATGATATATTGTATATAAATTAAAGTGTAAAATTGAAATATTAAAAGTAATAAAAAAAAATAAGAAATAAATTGATATTAATTAGAGAAAAAAAAAAATAATAAATTGAAAAAAATTTTATAAAATTTAAAAAATATAAAAAAAAAAAAAAAAAAAAATTTTTAATTAAATTTAATTTATTTTTATTTTTATTTTTTACAACTATTTGATTAAAATATGGGAAATTGTCAAGTTTGAATGCCTTTGTGATTTGATCAATTTGTTTTATTGTTTTGTTTTTAAATACTAAAGAATATATACAAAAAAAAAAATAACTTTAATTTTAATTTTTTTTTTTTTTTTTAAAATGAAGGTTGAATTGGAATTGATCCAAAATAACCAGATGAATTTTGTTGTTGAATTTGTCTTGGGGAATTGAGGGCACTGCTATCTCTTGATGAGTTTTGTGAATTACTTGAAAATGATAGTGATGATGATTGGCTCATACTTGTATTTTGGTTACTTGTTTTTTTTGAAGTAGGGAGCGATGATAGGGTTGGTGATGTTGTGCCGTTGGTGTTACCTGCATTTGAAATGTATGGATTTGAAATTGAATTTTTTAATTGACCACCCAACTCAATTTTTGAAATTTTATTTTCTTTGTTGTGGGATCTATCACTTAATGGAGCACCATTATTATTTAATTTAACTTTTTCAATATTTACATGATGATATGGTTTGGTGGGTGTTGATGAAGGAGTAATTTGTTGTGGTGGAGTTGTTTGTTGAGCATGTTGCTGTTGTACACGTGGTGATGAGTTTGGAGATGATCCACGGCTAATTGATGTTGAAACACTAAAGTTTAATATTGGAATTTTTGGTCTTGGTGAAATCGATAAAGAAGCTCCAAAGGTATTATCTTTTGAGGCCATCGATGAAGAGATTGTATTATTTGAAACGGTTGTGTGAGTAGCTGAACCTAATGTTGGTGATGAATGAGATTGTTGATGTGATTGTTGATGGAAGAATGTTGCTGGTGACGAACCATTTAATGTATCATTTCTCTTTAATCTTCTTTCATTTAACTCTATAGTTGGATCATGGCTTACTGATAATAATTTTGGTGATGTTGTTTTACTTGTATCTTTTGGTGAATAAGGTGTGGCTAATGTAGCTAAATCACCTACACTGCTTGTGGTTAATTTATTCTTTTCTCTATTCTCTTTTTTTGCAATCTTCCTAATATGTCTTTTTTCAATGGCAACGCTTTTATCGTACAGTTCTTTTTCTGACATTGGACTTGAATCTAAAATCATATTTTGAATGAATGCTACAGGTTCGAAACAATATGGTACATTTTTGAATGAAAGGAATCTTAATATTAAATTGGCTTCTAAACGTTTCTTTACAAAATTTACAAGGTCAACACCAATATAAGATGGATTACCTTCATCTATAAAGGTTAGATCCATTAAATAGAGACCGACAAATGGAATACATGGTGTACCATTAATTTCACTTAGAAGCATACGATACTGTTTAAAGTTACCCTCCATATTAACGAAACGCTCCATTTGATCAAACTTTTCTCGACGATGACTTGATAGTGCACCCCATGTTCCTCTTAATCTGGTCACCGAACTGCAACTAAGACCACTAATAATTAACATTAAACCATTGAAATTTTGCATATCATAACAGTGTTGAGCAATTTTAATAAAGAACTTTAATTTTTTGATACGGACCTTTGATGATCTTTCACCTACAATCTCTGAACTGACCCATTTGGAACATTGATTAAAGATACCGATCATAGTCAAAATATTTGGACAAATTTTTTGGTTCTCGTCTGTACACTTACTCCATTTCTTTGAGAGTAATTCTGTTGCTGTGATTTTAGATAATAAAGTTTGATCAATTAATGCCATTTGACGAGCAATTTCAATTGATGAAATATCCAATAATGTGAAATCACTTCCATCTGGTGTTCTGAGTGGTAAAATTGGTTTAGGTGCGTTTTGAGATAACTTTATGAGCTCTGCTAAATTATCAATGTGTTTCTTTTTGGTTTCGTTAAAGATTGCAATTAATCTTCTGGCAGAGGTTTCTTTTTCCAACATTAGAGTATTTGAAATGAATTGATTAAAGTTTCTTAACAATCTTGGATCATCTTGGAAATTGGTTAAATGATTTTGTATCCAGTAACCCATTAAATCAATGACACGCTCTTGAATACGGGGCTTAATGGTCTTCTTAAACTGAGCCAACTCCAAAGCACTTGCATGCATTGGGGGTTCAATGTGATAACGTACACAAAGCAATTGGAAAAGCTCAACTGCCTTAATAAATGATTGATAGGTTGCAAAGAAATATCTGGAATAACCTTCTTCAGTATAATCTATATTACAGAGATGTTCAATTAACTTTGGAACTGTTGCAGCTTTGATAATTGAATCTTGATAGATGATATTAACATCTTGAATATCAGGCTCTTCAAATCCGTACAATGAGCCCAATCTACCACTAATAATCTTTTGTTGGTGTTTCTTTTTTTCATTCTTTTGTTTTTCTAATTTCTTTTCGATAGTGTTTTCTTCTGTTGCAGATGCTACTACCGATGAGGTGGAGGATGCACCATTGAAAGCACTTACTAAACTACCCAAACTTCCACTACTAATATTACCAATTGAAAACTGTTCTCCCAAGAAATTAATCTCTCTTAACTCTTTTTGCTCTTTAATTTCACGTAATTTTCTTTCTTCCTCGTCAGAGTCATGATCAGATTCGACATTTGAAAGCTCTTCTAATTCACGAATATCTTTATGTTCACGGAGGAAATTTCTTTGGCTTTGTTTACGTTGTGATATCATTTTTGGTGAACTTGTTAAACTATTTACATTACTTGCACTACGGGTTAATGAACCACCATTGTTGTTTCCATTGTTGTTATTATTTTCAATGATATTTGATAATGATTGAGTTGGACTATTTACAATTAATAATAAACAAACTTTTGAAACCAATTCATACCAAATGTTTAATATTTTACGTGAACGATACCATCTTTGAATTTTAATTGCTGCTTGAATAATTTTCGCTGTTTGATTCGCTATAACAATATTCTTTTGAATTTTATTGGTCTCTATCAATGCAAATACTACATTTCTAAATCTGAACTGTTTCTTCCATACTCTATAGTGTCTTTGAATTAATCTAGCACTTACATCACGACGAATATTAAGTTCTGCCAAAAGATAACGCATTAATGATTGTTGGTCACTTTGAAGTATTTTAGTAGGCAATGGATTGCCACTAAGATTGATGGAATCTAATGTTTTTGATAGAACAGATATTTCACATGGAATTTGGGTTAAGCGATTATGGTGCAATAATAGATGATTTAAATTTACAAGGTAACGTACTTCTGTTGGTATGGTTTCGATTTGATTGTATTGAAGATAAAGCTTTCTAAGTTTTGTTAAATTTTTAATTTCTGGTGGTATAGTTACAAGACCATTATTACTAAAACTGAGCTCGGTAAGACTAGAACAACCACACAACGAAATTGGAAAAACTTCAAACTGATTATCCCATAGTGAAAGAGTTGTTAATGACTTCAATTGATGGAATGAATCTGGTAGAGTTGAAAGATTGTTACTACGAAGATTAAGATTTGCTAAATTTGCTAAACGACCAAAGTTATCAGGTAGATTGTTCAAACGGTTTGCAAATAATGTAAGGGCTGTTAATGATGGTATATTTGAAAAATCATTAAATATATATTCAATTTGATTTTGACCCACATTTAATGTTCTTAATTGTGACATTGATGACAAACATCCTGGCAATGCTGTTAATTGATTTTGTTCCAAATGCAATGACTTTAAGGTCTTGAAATCGCTAATATCAGTTGGAATCTCCTTCAAATGGTTCTTTGAGAGTGATAAGTCTGTTATCTTTTTTAATTCGAAAAACACCCTTCCAATTCTAACTATATTATTACCATCAACTTGAAAGTCTTCTAACTCTGATAATAAACCTACTTCATCCGGTATACTTGTAATTCTATTATTATTTACCCATAGTATCTTTAGTGCCCTTAACTTATATATATCCGCTGGTATTTCTTTAATTAAATTATCATTTAAATTTAATTTTACAATATAACTAAAATTTGTACATAAAACAATTGGTATATGTTTTAAAGTATGTTCTTTTAGATTAATTTCTTTTGAATTTGCTTTTGCTGATTCTTCCAATAATTTTGAAACTTTAGAACCCTATATTTTTTAAATTAATATTAATTGTAAATAAAAAAATTTATAAAAAAATAAAAAAAAACTTACCATTTTGTAGGGTTATTTTTTTTATTTTTTTTTTAAAAATTTCTATATTATTTTAAAAATCATCACAACTATATTTAATTGCTATTTATTAATCTGTATCTTTATTGAAATTATTTGTGTGTTTTTTGATTTTAAAAAAAAAAAAAAAAATTTCTTCTGTTTTTAAATAAAACAATTGTGATATTTTTATAACTTAAAAATAAATTATTTAACTTCTTTTTATTGAGCGGTTTGTTGATTTTTAAATTGGATATTATTATTTATTAAGATATAATTTATTATTACTTTTACCTAAATAAATTGGTAATAAAGTAAAGAAAATTTTTAAAAAAATTAAAAAAAAAAAATTTTAAAAAAAAACGGTTAATTTTTTTTTTTATTTTTTTTTTATTTTTATTTTTATTTTTATTTTTACCAAAATATCTGGGATTAAAAATAATTACAAAAATATATATAAAGCATTTTCCATCTCTCTGCGAAGTTGATGAAAATTTATTGATATCAATAAATATATAATGTGTAAGTTAATAAAAATTTAACTTTTTATAATTTATTATGTTCAGAGAGAATATAATAAAAAAAATAAAAAAATAAAGAAATTAAACAATTAATAAAATAAAAATAAAAATTTTAATTATTATAATAATAATTTCAAAAAGGGATTTAAAAATACAAATTCATTGATTTATAACTAATATAAAATTTTATAAATAAATTCCCATTTAAATATTCATAAAACTAAGAGAATAATCATTTTTTTTTTTTTTTTTTTTTTTTTTTGATTTTTATTTTATTTTATTTTATTTTATTTTATTTTTTTTTTTTTTTTGATTTTTAAATTTTGACACACTTATGTAAATAATAAAATAAATTATTATTACCTAATTATTATTAAATAATAATAATTATATTAATAATAAATAAATAAATAAATAAATATAATGGATAGGGTTTTCTTTCTAGTTTTTAGAAATAACTATTTAAGGAAACTTATATTCGAATATGTAAATTTAATAAACTCAAAAAAGTATAGCAAAAATCGAGTTTTTAAATATCATCAAATTAAGACACTTGATTGGTTATGTGTAAATGAAAAGTGGATGCTTTTAAAGGATATGATAACAACTAAACATCCATTAAAAATAACAGAGAATTCATTAATTACAATTTGCAAGTCGGTTAAAGATGTGAAACTATTCGAGCATATTTATAATGGTCTAAGAAAAGAGTTTCAACATTACGATTTTATGTTTATAGACTATGCATGTGCTGCTGGTTCATTGGATGTTGTTAAGTTTTTACATGAACAGAAACACAGCGCCACATTCAAGGCATTGGATAACGCAAGTTGGAAGGGTTTTAAAAATATTATCGAGTTTTTATTAGATAACAGAACTGAAGGAGCATCAAAAGACGCCATTGACGAAGCATCCGCCAATGGGTATATAGATATTGTAGAGCTTTTAACGGAGCGTACAACTGCAGGCTGTTCAAAAACAGCAATGAATTTAGCATGTAAAAACGGTCATTTTGAAATGGTGCAATACCTACACAAAAATAGAACGGAAGGCTGCTCCACCAAAGCTTTAGATTACTGCTGCCAATATGGTCACTTGGATATTTACAAATATTTATACGAAAACAATATTATAGCAATCAATAATTTCAATACACTTAGAAACCACATACAAAGTGACGACCCAAAGAAAAACTATACCAACAGATATATAACTGATGAGGGTCTACGTTTCGCCGTTAGAAATGGTCATTTCAACATTGTAAAATATATACTGGACAATCAACTATTCAATCAAAGTGAAGTAAACACAATCTTTAAAGATTCACTATACCAAAAGAATTTAGAAATTGTAAAACTTTTAGAAAAATACTCTAGTGAACCATTTTCAAAGGACCATTTTTTAGAATTTCTAAATAGGGCCATTTCAAATGAACTCATAAACAATATAAACTATCTCTTTGATGAATTTAATCACAAATTAACAATAAAAGAATTTAAAAGATTGGTATTCGATTCAGTTAGATATTCAAACTTTGAAATTTTTAAAAATATTTATAATAGAGCAGTTAAAGCATTCCCAACATTAAATAGTAGAATAAACATAAATAGTTTCAATAATTGTAGTACCGATATAAACAATAATAATGGCATACATAGTAATAATACCACTGCTACCACTACAAAAACTACTACAACTACATCTTGCTCTTCCTCATCAATTTCAACAACATTTACATCATTATCATCATTAGATTTTTCATTATCATCTCTTACATTAACTCGTTCTCTTTCATCATCACCTCCCTCGTCATCCCCCTCGACATTACATTACGATAAAAATCAATTAAATGAAAAGAAATTATTCATGTTTTCAATTAAAAGATTAGATTTAGAAAAAACCAGATTTATCTATGAAAAATATCAACTTCAAAGCTTTGATATCAACAACATAGCATTGTCTTACTGTATATATAATTTAAATTTACCATTAACCAAATTCCTTGTAGAAAATATATTTACCTCGTTCAACCCAGAAAATTATTTATTATCTCCGGTTATTAAACTATCAACCCCAATGTACACTTATCTCAATAACTATAAAAATGAAAATATGGAAAAATTACAAAAATTAAAACAACAACAATCATATCAATTTTCCCAGCAATACCAAGCCTCAAAAGTTATATTTATTGTAAATAATGAAGATTTCAAAACGCTCTCATTAAAATATTTCGATGAGTTCCACGTAATGAACGAAAAACTGTATAGGGCCGTCTTGGAAAATGTTTCAAGTAAACTAATAATGTACAGTAAAAGACGTCACCACATTTGTAATAAATAAACGATAAAAATAATAATTTGGCTCATTTGGGATAAAAATTCTTTTTTAACTTCTTTTTTTTTAATTTTTATTTTTTTTTCAATTTTTTTTTATTTTTTTAATTTTAAATTTTTTTTTTTATTTTTTTATTTATTTTTTTTCACTTTCGTTTTAAAAAATTTTTTTTAATATTTTTTTTTTTATTTTAAATTATTGTTATCAATTAATAAATAAATATTTCTTTTTTTTTTTATTTATTTACTTTTTTTAATAATAAATTAAATCGTTTTGTTGTGTTTTTTTTTTAAAAAAAATAAAATATATTTTTATAAAAAAAAATTATAAACATTTTCCACACACACACACCTTTTACACACAAAGATAAAATTTAGTATACAGGCTAAATTAATAATAATAATATAGTATATATATTTTAGAATATATATATAAATATAAATATAAAAAATGTTTTCAAATAAAATGACAGATATGGCCATAACATTTGGTTCATTATTTTTAATTCAAAAGATCGATTTTACAAATCCACAAAATGTTTTTTATGCTCAATGTGCATTTGGTGTAATTCAAGCTACCATTCTTTTAGCTTATTTATATATTTTCAACAGTATCAAATCCAAACCAAATAATACTGTTGTTCGTGTACCAGTTAACCCACCATCAATGTTTTCAAAACCAGATCCAAATGAACCAACTTCCGAACAAACTGCATCCGAATACGATTTAGCCCAACTTAAAAAGAGTGTCACCCAATCACTTGTCACTATTGGTATTACTGCATTTTTATTCTTTAAAATGGGTATCATCCAACCAATTGCTATGCAATCAATTATGGCTCCACAAAATTTCATCAAGAATAAATTATTCAAAATCTACGTTTTAGGTCAAGATGAATCAAACTTCAAACGTCCATGGACTGAAGAAAGTCCATTTTCAATGGGTCAAAATGAAACCACCAACACTACCACCGAAAACACTGACAACATTACCATTGCTGCTTCAAAGGAAGACGCTAAGGAAAAAACCATTGCTGCTGTCAAAGGCAATACTACCAAAAGATCAACTGTACCATCAAAAGCAAAAGTAACTGAAATTTCAAGTAGCGAAGGTGAAAGCAGTGAAGAAGATGACAACAAAAAAAAAACTAAAAAGAAATATTTATAAATAAATAAATATTTATAGAAAAAGGAAGAAATTTATTTAAATATTATAAATAAATTTTAATATATTAATATTGATAATAATAATAACATTAATAACAATAAATATATAAAATTACTAAAAAAAAAAAAAACTGTATCTTTATTTTTTCTTTTTATTCTTTTTATTCTTTTTTTTTTAGACAAAGTTTCGAAATAAATATGTACAATTTCCAAAAAATAGTTTATTTGAAGAGAAAGTATTGGTTTAAAGTTGCTTTAAATAATTGAAGATTATTTTTATTTTTATTTTTAATTTTATTTTTATTTTTATAAATATTACCTGCGGTAATTTAGCTAATGTATTGTTATAAATTTAAAATGATAATGTTTATTTTGGCCACCTAAATTAAATATAAAAAAATTAGTATAAGAAAAAATTATAAAATAATAATAAAATTAAATAATAATTACATTTGGTAAGCACCAATAAGAGCAGAAACAATACCTGCACTTCCAACGGTTCCTTGAGAGAATGAGTAGAATTTTAATAATGTAGCAGCAATTAAAAGATCTGAGGCATTTTTACAACAGGTAAGATAAATTTCATTTTTCTTAATTTGAACTTCATTAAATTGATCTTGAATGGTTTTATTATCAGTATCGGAAGCTTGGTTGTTGGTAATTGAAAGTTTGAGTGATTTCTCTTTCTTTAAAAGGGTTGATAATGTGTTGAGATCGATAACGATTGAACATAACAAACCAAAGAACCAACTGACGCTAGAGTACCAACCTAATTTTACGGTATCGAATTTACAAATACCAATATTTGTACCAAGAATTAAATGATCGAATACCCAGTAGAAATACATTCCAGATTGTCTGATTAATGCTAATATATTGAGGAATCCAAATGGCTTGGCGACTTTAAATAATGAAATGATCTTTTGTTGTTCTGCAAAAGTATTACCTAAACGCCAAACTTTACGAGCTGAACCTGAAGTAGTTTCTAATTTCTTCATAATACCAACCCATTGACCCTTTGGACTATTTCTTAAAAATATATATCCTAATAATTTGGCACCATATTGAAGAATCTTTGCAAACTTGTCTTTTCCACTTGTTTGTGCTAATAATTTAATTAATTTTTCTAAAAATGCATTAAATTTTAAATAACCTTGTTTTGATAAAACTGTCATATTATTGATTTACTTATTACTATTATTTTATTATAATTCTAAAATATATATGTGTACTGATATATTCGTTAGAAACTATAATTTTATAAAAAAAGAATAAGTATTTTAGTTATGTATATAAATATATAAAAAGATAAATTAAACGAATAATGTGAAAAAATTAAAATTTATTTTTTTTAAAATTTTTTTTTTTTTTTGAAATTTTATTTTATTTTTTTTTTTTTTTTTTATATTTTTTTTTTTTTTATTTATTTTAAAACACCATACAATGTTTCATATATAGAAATTTATGAAATCACAATTTTTACTGTAATTGCAACATAAAATTATACACAATTATTTTATCCAACATGATGATTAAAATACCTTTTTTAATTTTTCTAAATATCCAAATAAATTAATAGAGATTAATATAAAAAGATTTTTATTATTATGATATAATCACAAAGAAATTTAACAATTTTAATTTTTTATTTATAACTTTTTTTCTTTTTTTATATATATTTTTATAGATATAATAAAATTAATATTATTTAAAATTATATATTTATTTAATATTATTAAATAATTATTTTTTTTAAAAATTATTTTTATTTATATTTATATTTACATATATTTCTTTAATTTATACAATGTTGTAGGATGTAAGAACATATAAGTGTTTATTACATATATAAGTGTGTTATAATGTGTGTGTGTGTGTGTGTGTGTGTGTGTGTTAGTGTGCGAGGATTTTTAGGGGTATTTTTTTTCACAATAATAATAATATTTAATTTTTTAATTAATAATAATAATAATATGAAAAAATTATTATTATAAAATTTTCTAAATTTATTTTTTATTTTTTAACCTTAATTTTAATTAAATTTTAATAATACCCTTTTTTTTTTTTATACAATAAAAGAGATAATAAAAATAATAGTTATAATAAATAAATGATCAGCTGTAAATAAATAAAAAAAAAATTAATCATTTTAATTAAATTCAATTTTAATCATTATAATTTATTATTTCTTTTCAAAAAAAAAAAAATAAAAAAACAAAACAAATACAAATAAAAAAACCACACATTATAATTGAATAGTTGTCTATTGTTGTTGTTAGTAAAATATTAATAATAACTTTCAATTAAATTAAATTAAATTAAAATATTCATTAGCTTTATAATATAATAATATTTAAAAGATATATTACATTTGTTAATATTCTTAGTTTAGAAATCCATATAATTATATAGAAAAAAAAAAAATTATAATAATGGATCAATCCCCACCAAAACAACAGTTTTATTTTGAAAGTCCATTTAGACCTATGGATTCATTAAACAAGAGTAGCACTTATGACTTTACCTCACTAAGTAGGTATTTGTTTGTTCATTTATAATTATTAATATTTTAATTAAAAAAATATATATTGTTTTGTTTTTTTTTTAAATTTTCTTTTTTTTTTTTTCTTTTGTTTTTTTTTTTATATTAATTAAAAATATTATATTAATTTTTTTCATTATATTACCACTTTACAAATATAATTTTCTTATAGATAATCAGTTAGAAATGGATATTGAAGATGAAGATTCATTATTCAATTCTCACAGAAATATATTATCAGAACCTCCAAGACCCACAGGTTTATTGATGAAATTTATTTTCTTATTCCATCCAATGTTACTATTTTTATTTATTTTACCAGGTGTTTTAACATTTTGGATTCTATTTATTGCAGGTGAAAGCTCTTTAAAGCCATTCTTTTATATAGTATTTCTTTTAGTTCCACTGGTTTTCCAAATCGTTTTATTAATCTATCATTCAAACTCATTTGTCTTTTTAAATTATGGCCTTCAAGCTTTATCAAGAAAATGTAATACTTTATATTTTTTAATTATATATTTATAACATATAACACCTTAGCTAACCAATTTTATATTATTATATTAGATAATAATAGTGTAGCAGGTCAATATGGTCAGTTATATCAATTGGTAGATATCCAATCTGGTAATGTTGTCACAATGCTAGATCAAAGAATTGCCGACGAAAAAGCAATGTATTTATATATTCCAGTAACTAAAGAAGTTTTTAATATGTCTTATTATGAATCAACATTAAGAATCAATGCCTTGGGACATTGGCAAGTGGTTTTAACATGGAAAGCTTTATTAAGTTTCTTTGTCTTTGGTGTTATGTTATCAGAATTCATACTTTTATTTGTTTTAAAGTCATGGTTCCTTCAATTATTTTAAGAAAAATAAATAATATTAAATTTCTTTTTTTTTTTTTAAATAAATAATAAACTAAAACCATAACAAATATATATAAATCCATTAAATAAAAAAATAAAAGAAAAAAAAAAAAGAAAAAAAGATAATCTCTTTTTAAATTATTATTTGTTTAATAAAATAATATATTATAAATATTTTTTTACGTTAATTTTTTTAAATAAATTTATTTATATACACGCAATATAAAATATAATATATTTATCTAAACTTGTCTTTTCTTTGTGGCTTTGCCACCATTAAGTTCCTCGATATTCTTTCTCTTGTTTGGAGTTATAACAGTTGCAAAATTAATTGTAGTGTTCGATAATGGTGGTGAATTATTAGTGCTACTATTTAATGAAAGCTCACCAGATTCTAAGTCTGGTGAGTTTTCTTTGTTGTTTGTTTTGTTTTTTGAAAATGATGATGATGATGATGTTGATTTTTTTGATTCTTTATTATTATTTATGGTAGTGGTGGATTTATTATTTGTTTTATTATTATATTTTATTGATTTTTTATTGGATCGTGCTTTCGATTTTTTGTTATCTTCTTCACTATACGAATAGCTATCCTCGGATTCGGACGATTCACTGTCACTATTATCACTATCGCTACTATAATATTTTGCTTTTTTTGGTATTTTATCAAATGGTGTTAGTGATGCTGTGGTGGATATAGTTGACGATGATGCACCAGTAGCAGTTGTTCTTACATTATTTGTTTTAGTACTTTTTGATGTTGTTACATTATTTGGTGTAGAAGATGATTTGGGTTTAGATAATGATGATGATGAGGATGATGGATTTTTATTTTCGTCTTTACTCTTTCCGTTGGTTGATGCGATGGTTGGTGAAGAGGGATCTTTTTCTTTTAATAAGACTGTTGTAAAAACTTTTGAAATATTATCCGATATTGCTTTATATACATTGCTATCCTTATCATTTAAAACATCTTTTATTTCTTTATAAATAAATGACATTACACTGTTATTATAAATAATAAATTTGTGAGTATGGGATAATTACTATTGTTGAATTCCTATACGGGAATAAAAACTTACGGTTCGGTATCTTTTTTTAATTCTGACATAATAATTCTTTTATGTATTGCTTTGGTTTTAGAATAAACTTCTAAAATTTCACTGTCGTTAAGGATATTTTGGGTTTTCTTTACAATTGAATCACCAATTCCTTTTTCTTTAACATAATCCGTTATTATTGATCTAATGGTATCAAATGTTCCATTATTCTTTAAAATATCTAAAATTTGGATTGATTTTTGCTGGAAAAAAGAAAATTCTGCTTGTTCCATTGAATCAATGTTAAATGTTTTTTGTTGCGGCGCTGTTATTGGGGAAGATGTTGATGTAGATATTGAAGTTGAGGTTGAGGTGGAGGGTGTGGATATTGGTGGTGATAGTTTTGATACTATTGGTGTTGGTTGCTTATAAACTTTTTGTTGCGAGTGTAATGTCGGTGAGGCTGCACTAGAAAGTTTAGATTTTGGTATAAATGGTTGACTTTCGGTTGTATCCCACTTTGAGCTTTTTGTGGTTTCCACAGTGGCGGTGGTGGTAGTCGTATCATAATTTATGGTTGTATTTGCAGAAAGTGAAGACTGTGATTGTGATTGTGGTTGTGAGTGTGATAGCGGTGGTGGTGGTTGCTGTTCAGTGCTATATTCTTTATCTTTTGCGCTGTATCTATCATTATATGGACGATCATAATAGCTATCTCTACCTCTACTTCGATAGTTATCCCTATCATTATAATAGTGCTGAGATGATGATGACGATGGATATTGGCTGTGGTGACCTCTATCATTATAATGTGAATCTCTGTAATGTGATCCACTTCCTCCTCTACTTGGACCCCTTTCATCTCTTCTTTCCCAACCACTTCTTGATGAAGATGACCTATAACCATCATAGTTTGAATCTCTATAATCTCTGTAATCCCTTTTCCCATAATAGCCACCTCCGCTACTACTTGAGCTTCTGTTATAAGAGTCTGTTTCATCATTGTATGGTGGATGTGAGGATGAATTTATATTATTTTGGTAATGACCACCATGGTGAGTATTATGGTGATGTGAATAATGTTGTTGTGTTGGTGGTGGGTAGTTATTGTTGTATGACTGATGTGGTTGGTGTTGTTGTGGTTGTGGTTGGTGTTGTTGGTGTGTTTGGTGTTGTGGCGGGTAATTATGGTACCCACTATCAACACCTTTTATGTTTGATTCTGACATTTATTTATATTTTTTTAATTTAAGTTTTAATTATTATATAATAGTATATATATACCATATATATATGTAATATATATATCTATCTAAAAGAGCAGATATTATTATTTTATAAACTGTTTAATAAAATAAATCTGACATTAAAAATAAAAAAATTAAAAAAAAAATATAAAAATTAAAAAAAAAAAAAAAAAATATTTTTTAATTTTTTTTTAAAATTTATTTTTAAATTAATTTTTTATTTTTTCGTTTATCTAATAAAAAAAATAAAAAAAATAAAAAAAAATAAAAAGATAAAAGAAATCATGTATTCTAAAAATAAATATATGTTTACTTAAATAGTATATTAGGTTTGTATGTTCAACACCCCCATCCTATTTTTTTTTTTTTTTTTTTTTTTTTTTTTTAAAATTTTTTTTTTTTTCAAAATTTTTTTTTTTTTTTTTTTAATTTCCCAAATCATCATTTTGATCACACACAATGGAAATGGAAAAACTTTTCACCACCGATTTAATTATTGCATTTATTGCAATTGTTTTACATGTTGTAAACTATAATGCAACTGCTCAATTCGAATATAAAACTAGAACATTTACAAAAGTACAATCATAAACCATTAATGATAATAATAATAATCATATAAAATTTAAAATAATCAAATTATAAATATTAATTAATATTAATTAATTTTCAATTTTAGATTATTGGTAAACAAACAATTTATTATTATGCAGTTTATTTAGTTATTTCAGCTCTTATTCGTGACCATTTTATTAATGCAGCAATCGATAAAGACCAAAACTCATTAGTTCTTTTCCCACAAGAAGTTGCTAAATTTTTTGGTAACTCTTGCTTCATCTTTGGTATTTTATTAAATATTTGGACTCTTAAAGCATTAGGTATTAAAGGTATGTATAATGGTGATAGTTTTGGTCATCTCATGGATGCCCCAGTTACCACTGGTCCATACGTTTATTTCAGTGATCCACAATATGTTGGTACCACTATTGCCGCCATCGGTGCCGCTATTAGATACCAAAGTATGACAGGTTATTGTAAGTTGTTTAATATTCAAATATTATTTTGGTTATTAGTTTTACTAACAACAACACATTTTAAAATTTTATAAAATACATACAGTATGTTCAATTTTAGTTGGTATTGTTTTCTATATCTCTGCCACTTTTGTTGAAACTCCACATTTAAATAAGATTTATTCAAACAGATCATATTCAAAGATTAATTTCAAAAATTTCAATAAAAAAAACCTTTAAATAAAAATAAACAAATAGTTTAAAAATTAAAAAAAAAATAAAAATAAAAGAAAAAGAAAAAGCCTGGTATTTTATTTATCTAATTATTTATTTAATAGTTTAATAATAATAAGCTCATTTGGATTCAGCAGGAGAAACACCGGATGGCATAACTGGTTGTGGTGGTGGCTCTAATGATGTAGAGTCAGAATCTGATTCACTATCACTAGAGTTATTACTACTGCTGTTGCTGCTGCTGCTATTGTTGCTGTTGTTTTCATTGTTGGGTCTTGCCAATAGTGCATAGAAGAAACTTGAAGTGGTACGATCCGAGACCATTGAGAATGAAATTCCTGATATTAAATCGTGTTGTTTTAAGATAATGTAGTTCATTGGTGGATTAATATCTGATGTTTTTGCTGCTTTTAAATAAAACCCTTGATCACCCTTAATCTTTGTTTTAATTGGGAGATTATTATTAACAGAGTCTAAAATGGCTTCATTTATATTTTGATTATCTTCTTTTAAAAATGGTGTGTATGGTGTTGGCGATATAATTGATGGGGATACTTTATTGCTATTTTTATTATTGACTTCTTTTTTATTATTATTTAAATTGCTTGGTGATTGGAATGCCTCCTGGTCAAAAATTAAAGTTCTTTTTCTTGAGTAATAGTTACCTTTTGATGTTAAGTACCCGTCCTTGATAACCTTCCAATTATTTGTAACAGTTCCGTCTGGTTTTGAAGCAGAGATCCAGACTTCTTCATATTGGTCAATTGAAACTAATAAATAGAAATCATTGAATGGAGAGTTGAAATTTAAATTTAAAAATTTAAACTCGTTTCTGTTTACACCACCAAATGTTAAAATTTTTAATGGGTCTTTTCCTACTATTGACACAAAATCATCCTTATCGAAATCATCTCCATAATAAAGTGTTTGAGACTTTATAATAGCTCTGGGATTAGGACATCTAAATGTAATATCTGGTAAACCTTGACCCCATGCTAGTTTTTGACCAATGGTAGTAACGAATGTTGGGTTTATACCTTCAAAAGAAAAATAAGTTTGTCCTAGTACCTGTTGTTTATTTATAATTGAAGTTTTGATTTGACTATTGTTTTTGTTTTCTATTGACTCTAATATATTATTTTTTTTATTTACTATAATTTCTGGGTTACTGTTACTGTTATTATTATTTTGAATATTTTTTAATTCCTTCTCTACTTTTTTATTGATTATATCTTTTTTAATTTGTTCAATTTTATCATTTCTTTTTAAATTACTTGCGATCAATGTATCTGATATAATTTCTTTGTTGACTGCACGTGCTGAGTTTTGGAAAAAATCTAAAAGGTTATTTGATTGATCGGGATTATTAATTGAAAGCAATGATTGAATAGTTGGTTGTTGTAAATAAAAATTATCTAAAAACACATGGTAGCTTGTTGTTATATTTGGATTTGAAAAAGAGAATTGAATTTTTCTGAATTCGATCTGTTGAGGAACTCTTACTGTACATTTGATCCATTTATCATTTGGTAATGTAACGTATTCACATGGGGCCTTTTTACTACCAGATAAAAGGAATTTTGGTGTAAAATCTAAAGGATGAATTGGGATAAATGATACCATAATATCACCATTTGTTGGTAATTTCTTTTTTAAATTAATATGAAATACTAAATCTAAAGTAGCCTATAAAAATAAATAAAAAGTTAATAGCCTATTTATATATTATTATTAATTACCCATCTATATTTTCACTTACATTTCTAACTTCGAATCTATTTTGAAAATCAATTGAAAATGTTCTTGATTTTTTCATATTAAAAACAATTGAAAATGGTGACTTTTTATAAGTTTTAACATTTTGGTAGAGCTTAATTCCTTTATCCTCGTGGATAATAACACCGTAACCTTGAATACCACCCTTATAGAGTATTCTTCTATTTCTTTGGGTGTCTGCTCTCTTTAGACCGATATCGTCTAAAAAAATTGAACTGTTTGGATGTCTTTGAAGAAACCAGATTGCTTTGTAATCAATGGATGGAAAGTACTCTAAATCGATACTAATCTCGCTCCATTTATTTGGTGGAAGGTATGAAGAACGCGAAAATGAATTAATTGGATTAATTTGATTGATAATTGGTAGAGCATGTACCTCCTTATCGCCATTAATTAATGATATAGTTAAATCTTGTTGTGGTGTTGATGGATATACCCAAAGCTTTAAACACTTGAACACTTGTTTATTTAAAGTAATATTTTGATATTGATTGGCTTTACTGAATATATAAAAATCTGTTGTGAAAGCAATACTAAAATTACCAGAATGAGTTGGGGATTTAACTTGTGTAAATACTTTGTCACTATATTCAATCGGAATTGTGAATGAATCGCTTAACTTTTCATCGTATATCATTGTCATATTATTACTATTAAAAATATTGACTCCCCCATTTCCTCCGCCCCCATCGTTATTTATATCGGAAACTAAATTACTACTAGCCTTACATTTAACTATAAATATAATTGCTATTAAAAATAAAATTAATTTCATCTTTTTGAAAATAAATATGAATTTGTTGGTTTTTTTTTAATGTTTTTTATAAATTATTATTTTTTTTTGTTTATGATTTAATATTAAAATATTAGGCTTATAAAATAAAGTAAATAATTGTTATAATTTTTTTTTTTTTTAAAATAAATAGGATTTATATTTTTATTTTTATTACAAATGAATAGATTATTTTTATTAGAATTATTTTTATTATTTTATTATTACTGTAATAATATTACTATAAAAAAAACGGGTTTTTTATTGGACTTTATAATAATAATTTTAATTTCTATAAAAAAAAAAACACAAGATTTAATAATTATAAAAACGAAAACTAAATAACTATAGTGTTATATAATTAGTTTTTTTTTAAATTAATTAATTAAATAATTACTAATTAGTTGTTTATAAAAGGAAAGATAACAACTCCCCTTTATTTAAAAAAAAAAACTACTACAAATTAAAAAAATTATAATACAAAAAAAAAAAAAGATTTTTAGACTTCGAATCCAATTTTAATTTTAATAATAGATTTGTTATAAAAATAAAAGTTTAGAATTGTGCTATTTTTTACAACAATGGACTGATAATTGATATCCTCTTAATATATAAAATTATAACCTTTGTTTATTATTATTATAATTATAATTTGCGACTATAATTATTTTTAGACACAATTTGTACTAAATAGGTTATATTTAAATATTGCAATATAATTGTTATTATTTATCTAACTATATAATTATTTTTGCTATAATTGGCTATTAAAAAAAAATTAATAGATAAACAAGCACAATAATATGATTAAAAATAAAAAAAATTAAAATTAAAAAAAATAAAAATATATATAAATAAAAATACAAATATTATAGTTAATTAAATTAAATTTAAAAAAAAAAAAAAAAAAATATTATTTAAAAAAATTATGTATATAGTGTGAAAAAAAAATACACAATTTACACAATAGCACAAAGATTGAAATAAAGAATAAAAAAGTACAAGTACAATGATTTTTTATTTCTTTTTTTTTAAATAATATTTGTTTTTTTTTTTTGAATTATGATCATTGAAATGTGGGAATTTGGGGGTAAATGAAAAAAATAGAAAAAAAATAATTATTTTCATTTTAAATAATATTTTATATGGCTCCCCCTCTATATAAGGAAATTCATTTTCCAAAAAAAACTTTTTTTTTTAAAAAAAAATTTATCCCGTATATATTCTGTTCTCTTTTTTAAAATTTAAAAAAAAAAAAAAAAAAAAAAAAAAAAGA